CAAATGCTTTTTCTGCCTCTATTGACACGATCATGTGGTTTTTATCCTTCGGTTTTTTTATGTGATGTATCATGTTTATTGTTTTGCAGATGTCATACCAACCTTGCATCCCCAGAATAAATTCCAGTTGACCGTGTTATATATTTTAATATATTGCTGGATTTGATTTGCTAATATTTTGTTGAAGATTTAGCATCGATGTTCATCAGGGTTATTGGCCTATACTTTTCTTTCTTTGAGAGATAATTCTAGCCTCAAACAACTGAGCTTGTGAGTCTTTCCTCCTCTTGAATGTTTTGGAATAGTTTGAGAAGAATAAGTGTTAGATCCTTTTTGAATGCTTGGTAAAATTTACTTGCAAACCCATCAGGTTCAGGTGAAGAGGTTTTTATTTTTTTATTTTTTATTACTGTTTCAATTTCACTAGTTGTAATTTGCTTATTCAGATTCTCTGAATCTTTTTTATTTAGTCTTGGAAGGTTGTATGTTTTTAGAAATTTATCCATTTCTTCCAGATGTTCAATTTGTTGGCATATAGTTGTTCATAATGTTTTCTTATAATCCTTTGCATTTGTTTGGTGTCAGTTGTTACTTCTCTTCCATTTCTGATTTTATTTATTTAGGTCCTCTCTCTTTTTTTCTTGATGAGTCTGGTTAAAGGTTTGTCAATCATATTTATCTTTTCAAAGAGCCAGCTTTTGGTTTCATTGATCTTTTTTATTGTTTTTTGAGACTCTCTTTTATTTATTTTTGCTCTGATCTTTATTATTTTCTGCCTTCTATTCACTCTGGGACTTGTTTGTTGTTCTGTTTCTAGTTCCTTTAAGTGTAAAGTTAAATTGTTTGAGTATTTTTATTTTTTTATTTCTTGAGATAGGCCTGTAATGCTATGGATTTCCCTCTTAGGACTGCTTTCCCTGCTCCCACAGATTTTGGGTTGCTGTGTTATTATTATTTTTTTTGTTTCAAGGTATCTTTTGAATTCTTCCTGGATCTCATTGTCAACCCATTCATTGTTTAGTGACATCTTATTTAGCATTCATGTCTTTGTGTGTTTTTTAGTTTTCTTCTTGTGGTTGATTTCAAGTTTTATACCATTATGATCAGAGAAGATTCTTGAAATTATTTCAATCTTTTTATGTATTTATTAAGACTTGTTTTGTGTCCTAACATGTGGTCTACCCTAGAAAACATTCCATGTACACTTGAAAAGAATGAATATTCTGTTGCCTTAGAGTAGAATGCTCTGAAGATATAATTAAATCCATCTGATCTAGTGTGTGATTTAAGGCCACTGTCACCTTCTTGATTTTCTGTCTGGAAGATTTATCTATTGATGTCAATGAGGTGTTAAAATCCCCTACTGTGCCCTGGCTGGTTTGGCTCAGCGGTTGGAGCGTGGGCCTGCGGTACAGAGAGACCCGGGTTCGGTTCCCGCTAGGGGCACGTACCTCGGTTGCAGTTTGTCCCCGGCCCTGGTTGGTCGTGCGGGTGGCAGCCACTTGATGTGTCCCTTCACGTCGATGTTTCTCTTTCTCTCTGTTCCTCTCTCTCCCTCCTGCTCTATCTGAACAAAAAATGGAAAAATGTCCTCGGGTGAGAATAAAAAAAAAAAAAAAAAAAAAATCCCCTACTGTAACTGTATTATTGCCAGTCTCTCCCTTTATGTCCACCAAGATTTGCTTTATATCCAATGTTGGGTGTGTAAATGTTTACAAGGGTTATATCATCTTGTAGGATTGATCCCTGTATCACTATGTAGTGTTCTTTTTTGTCTCTTATTATATCCTTGGTTTTAAAGTCTATTTTGTCAGACATAAGTGTTGCTACCCCAGCTTTGCCCCCCCTTTTCAGTTCCATGAAATGTCTTTTTTCATCTCTTTACTTTTAGTCTGTGTGTATCTTTCATTCTGAGGTGGATCTCTTGAGGACAGTATATAGATTGGTCTTGTTTTCTTATTTATTCAGCTACCTTAAGTCTTTTAACTAGAACATTTAAACCATTTACATTTAAAGTGATTATTGATAGGTACATATTCATTGCCATTTTATTTTTTTTTAACTATGTTCCTCTTTTTTTTTCTTTTTCTTTGGCTTCTTAAAGTAAGCTCTTTAACATTTCTTGTAATGGTTTGGTGGTAACAAACTCCTTTAGCTTTTTAGTGTCTGGGAAGCAAGTGTTTTGTTTTGTTTTCTTTCAGCACTTTCAATGTATCACCATGCCTCTGGCCTCTAAGGTTTCTGAGGAGAAATCAGCTGACAATCTTATTAAGACTCCTTGTATGTGAAAAATTGTCTCTCACTTATTCTTTGTTTTTCTCTGTCTTCTGACACTTTGATTATAATGTGTCTTGGTTTGAATCTCTTTGAGTTTATCTTTCATGAAGTTCATTGAACCTTCTGAATTTATAGATTCATGTATCTCATCTAAGGAAGTTTCCAACCATTATTTATTCAAATAAGTTTCTCCCTCTCTCTCTTTTTCTTTCCCTCTTTCTCTCTTTTCTTGGGTCTCCCACAATGCATATACTTGTCTGCTTAATGTCCCACAGATTCTGTAGGTTCTGATCACTCTTCTTTCATTTTTTTTTTTCCTTTCTGTTCGTCAGACCCAATAATTTCAATTGTCCAAGTTTTACTGATTTTTTTGCCTGCTCAAATCTGTTTTTGAACCATTCTAGTGCATTTTTTAGGTCAGTTATTTTGTTTTTCAATTCCAGAATTTCTTTTTAATTCCTTTAAATATTTTCTTTTTACTGATATTCTCATTTTGTTCATACATCAATTTAGTGTTTGCTAGTGTCTTCCTTCAGCTCTTGGAGCATCTTTAATTCTGTTGTTTTAAAGTTTTTCTCTCATATTTGGGCTTCTGCAGGGATAATTTTTATTGATTCTTTTTGTTCTTTTGAATGGGCAGTACTTGTCTGTTTCTTTATGTGCTTTGTGATTGTTTTTGTTTTGAAAACTGGGCATTTGAGTCTTACAATGTTATAACATCTGATAATCAAATTCTCTACTTTCTCCAGGATTTGTGGGATTCCTTTTAATTGTTGCGCACTGTCTTTGCTAAAGATCAGAGTGGGGTAAAGCTTAAGCTCTTTCCAGGTTTTTTTCGCTGTGTCTTTTCTGGGGCATGCAAGGTGACTTTCTAAATTCTCCAACATGCGTAGTTGCTTTTGAATATTCTAGTCTTTAAGTGCATGCTTTCAAAAAGGAAAAAAAAGGGGGAAAAAACCAAACAGTTGTTGTTTCTTTAATTCCCATTAACCACTTCAGCCAGCAGGGTTTGCAACAATAGCTATCCACCTCTATATGCACCTCCATGATCAGAAACAGTAATCAGCAATCATATCACAGATCCCCAGTATTTAAAGAGCAAGGTCATTACTGCCCACCCTAGTCCCTACAAACTGCTCCAGGAATGAAGGCTGTTGTCCCCACAGCTGCCTGCCACAGGGCTAGGGAATGAGAGATGAGTGGATCTATCATGCTAATTAACTATAATTTATCAGCCATGCCTTATTCTGGAAGCAGAAAGCATTCAAATAGAGTTCCAAACATAGTCCCTTCAGACAGTTTCCTCCAGTGCAATTATTGTCCAAGTGTCCAGACTACTAGTACTTTCTACTACGCCATTTCCCTTCTTGGCTACTCATATTTTTAACTTCAATTTTTAACACAATATCCAACATATCTTACTTTGAAATGTAAGTCAGTTCATTACTCCTCTTTTCAAAACCCTTCCCTGGTTTCTCATCTAACTTAAAGTCAAAGTCTTTAACAAAGTTCCTACTGATTCGGTGCCCTGTCAACTCTAACTCTACAGGCCTCCAAACTTAACATTTTCACTTCAATTTGGAGCTGGTAATAACATCATTCATGCCTCTTGCTATAAATTTCTTTACTGATTCAATAGTATGTCTTTGTGGAGGAAGTGATGATTATAAATGGAGGGTTGAATCAAACTTAAATACTGTTGTTTCTCTTATCTGGCCCTCCCTCCTTCCTTCCTTCTGTCTTTTTTTCCCGTCCTTCTGTCTCCACCCCCCCATTCCTTCCTTTTTTACTCCTGTTCTTTCTTTCTTACTCTTTTTTACTTTTTAATGGGTGACTTCTTATAAAGTCAGTATTTATGATGCAAAGTGTACAATTTCATAATCGTTTTCCTTTTGTGATTTGTTTGGAGACAATATTCAGGAACAAGTTTGAACCTTATCCTTCCTTCCTGAAGGGCCCCTCACCTTGTTTTTGTGGTTCAGAGCTGAGGCAGGAAGCCTGGTAAGAAATCCGATTAGGTGTGGTATCTTCAAATCAGATTAGGCGACAGGTAGCCAGTAGAGGCCATCTGGGGACTTGTGGTATGGAAAGTCCTGAAACTGTTCAAATTCCCAGCATGACTGCTTCCATAAGCAAAGCAATGGAAGAGTGCTGTGTATGCAGAAGCATAAAATTACTTAACTTCATCATGCTCTGCCTCTCTCATTTGTCTTGTCTTATGCTGAGGAGACAAGTTGTTTACAGTCCCAGCCATTTTCATTAGAACTACACTGATGAGGTATTAAGGAGTGTTTAAATTAAAATAAAAAGGCTTAAGTCCCTTTTCTTTTTTAATGACCACTATGAGGAAATATTGACTCAGAATTACTTTTCAAAGAATGATAAATTGTCAAGCTATTTCATTTTTGGTAGCATAATAATTTTTTTTCCTCTTTGACATAAATAAGTGAGGACTTAAGGCTGTCTGGGAGAGAAATGTTTATAAATTGGTGAAGTGTTTTTTTCTGAGAATGACACTAGGTAAGCAAGATAACACAAGGAAAACTCTAATTAGGCAGATTTCAGAACTATGGAGCATGCTAGAAACTAATTTGTTTCTGGCTGTGGTCCCCTTTAAGATGAATCCTGTCTGGTGATTAGCATTGCCTTGAATTAAATTAATTGGCTGTACTAAATCCCTGAGTGGATACGCTAACCATAAATCCAAAGACGTGTTTCTTTGCACGAAATGAGCAGGTTACATATCCAGTGAACTTCATGTGAATTATCCAAACAACTTAAAACATTTTTCTTTTTTTAAAAATTTAAATAAGGAAGTTTCAAGTTCTGGTAAGTACAAAATTATTTGAAATCTTTATTTTGAAAATAATCCATGTTTAACTTGTTACACTTTATTTTTTGTTTTATATCTAATAATTATTATCTCTTACCCTAATGTGCCAGAAACCTTCACAATATGCTGATATTGAAGTAGGAGGGAACGTCATTGTCAGGAAATGAAGAAATTCTAGTGTAATCAAATATAAGTAAAGTTTTTTTTTTCTAATTATAAAAGCACTATTTCCTGATTAGAGAAATCTATGCAATATGTTATAAGGAAAGCTGCTTGTAATTCAACAATACTGTGACTACCATAGGGGATAATTGGTGTATTTTCTTTTTGAACCCCCACACCTCAATTCTAGTGCATAGTTATGATAATCTGTGAAATGAACTAATTTTTCTTGCAACATTAAATTTCTGAATTGCCATAAAAATAATACTATGAATATATTTTTCTTATTTTGTTTTCCATCATTCTTCTTTCTGAACTGTCAGAATTCCTACTTCATGGTAGAAAATGACATTTAAAATACAATTAGTGAAATGAACCATGGCTATATTGTAAGTCTCATTTGTTTTGTCAAATGAGTAGTGTAGAGAAGGTACAACTCTCTTGGTAGAGGCAATTATTGCATTTAGCACAGAGCAGCACAGGTAATTGAGACTAATCATAACACAGATACGCATAACCTTGGTTGATCCAAAGGAACCAAAGGGTGCTTCAAAAAACCTGCTTAAACTTAAGAAGCAATACATGTACAAGTATTCATGATAGTTCATGGTCTGACCTTAGGTACTGAAGAGAATGAAGAGAAGAGGAGAAGATATTGGTAGCAAGATGCCAAATCATTAGAAGCAGATTTCAATGTAATTTGGGCTGGAGGCAGCACAGTCTGTTAACCAGGTCCTTTGTTACTTCTAGAGAAGTCAGTGGTGAGCAAAGTGAGGGGCTTTAAGATTCTACAGCTTCTCTTGCTTCCATGTCCACTTTCCCTTCAGCCTAACCTGTTGGTAGAATTAAGCTGCTTTAGGCTACTGAGTTTTTTGTTTCCTAGGTAGCCCCTAACTATATTACTGCCGTATCCCAATTTCAGAAGGGATAGAATAAATCTTATTATTTAAAACATATGTAAAGAAACATTTTAAAATTTCCATCCAAATTCTGATTAGTTCTTTGTATTGATTGTAGAGAGAGAGAGAGGAAGGGAGAGAAAGAGAGACAAAGAGAGAGAGAGAGATTTGTTGTTCCACTTATTTATGCGTTTAATTGGTTGTTTCTTATATGTGCCCTGACCGGGGATCAAACCTGCAACCTTGAGGTATCGGGATGATGCTCTAACCAACTGAGCTACCCAGCCAGTACTCTGATTAGTTTTTAAAGCACAACTGAGTCAAGGTAACAAAAGGCTGGGGAAGGCTGTAGCTCTGTTTCATGACTTACTAACCATGTGTCAAAACTTACTGACCATGTCTCTGGTCTTGCTCCTGTGCACTGGGAGATTCTCCACTCGTTCCGACCTTCTTCCTGGAGGGCCTCTCCACCACTCTGCCTCTGCACCGCAGCTTCACATGGGCTTTCCTCTGGATGCATGTGCCCTCTCTTCCCACCCTCTCTGGGCTACATCTCTCTTTGATATTCTCATGGTACCCAGACTCTTCCTCAATTGTGCTATTGAATTACTCTGGGAATTTACCATGGTCCCTGTAAAAGATACATATGATCAAGGCAAAGACTGAAACATTTCCTCTGGCAGAAATCTGGCTTGCACTTTTCCCCAGGGATGGTGTTGTTCACTGTAGGCACATAGATCCTTTCATTCAACAATAATATGGAATCTTCATCATGTTCTATTCTATACCCACAATGCCCACCTTACCATTGCTCTTAAACCTCATCTACATGTATGCAAAAATCTCAACATTATTTACAATTTTCCCCAGTGACTCTAAGAGTTCATGGAAATCCTCTCACATGCAACCAGGACCATACAAACTTGTATTTTTGTTTTTTGTTTTGCTACTGCCTCCTCATCAAGGTGCTGACAACCATCCTGCTGCAGGTACTTTCTCTGAAAATGCTCCTTTACTGGTGGGCATCTGGCTTCTTCCCAGGGCATGGTGCTTTCAGCCTCTTCTCTTCACGCATCGGGCTCAAAACCAGTGCTCAGGGCTGGGCAGTGGTAGGATAGGAACAGTGGGGGCCGCCCTTTCTCTCCAATTATCCTTATCTTCCATGTTCTGCTTCCTGGTCCCAGCACAAATCTCCTTTCTTTATTTTAGTCACCCCCCAACAAATAAATAAACAAACAAACAAACCAAAACCCTTAGCTTATCAGCTCATATAACTATGTTTCCATCATGATCACCAGGTCAACAGCTCTCCAAATAGTGAGATCTAGACAGAAAACTATTGAAATTAAAAGCTTCATTATGTACTTACATATAGATAAATATAATTTGCCAAAATTAGGTAAAACTGTATCTCAAACACCATTCATGAAAAATATTTTCAAACAAATATAAGTAAAGCAATCTAAACATTAATTGGAGGAAAGGAATTCTGGAGTCTTTTATTTAAATACTGAAGGAATTCATCCCTCTTATAGTTGTTGAGGGCACAGAAATTAAGCAATGTGCTCAAGGTCAGACCACAGTTTACCAGCAGAGGATGAGAAGAGGTTGCAGTGTTGCTGACCCCATGGCAAAGCTGGATTCCCCAGCTCCTGATCTGCATGCCTGCTACAGCTGCCTTTATTGTCTTAAGTACTATAATTACTTAAACCCCTTGGGGAGGGAAAAGGGGAGATACACCGAATGTCTAGGCTGATCTTTGAATTCACTTTCCTAAGTTACATATAAGTAAGATTTATAAATTATACTGAAGATATATGAAGAATCTTAGATAACAGCTTGCAAACATTTAGGTAGGTGATTTGGACCAGACTTGTTATAGCTAATTTATAATGACAAGCATGCTGTTTTCATCTGTATAATACTGATCACATTTATTTAGTGTGTTTAATTTGTCTTCAAGGCTGCAGGGCTTTCTTGATATGAAATACACTAATAATTACATTTATTTAAAACAATAGAAAATACCTATAATATACTACAAATAAAAACAAGCCCAGAAATAGATAAACCCTTCCAAAAAAAGCTTACTTGTCAGTCGGACTCTCAGTGATTGGCGGAAAATGACTCTGAAATTCCCACTGGAAGTTTTTCATTTTATTATTATTTTATTTTTATTCCTCACCTGAGGACACTTTTCTACTTATTATCAGATAGAGTGGGAGGGAGGGAGAGAGAGACAGAGAGAAACATTGATGTGAAAGGGACACATCGAGTGGCTGCCTCCTGCACAACTCCACCAGGGCCGGGGACAAACCGCAACCAAGGTACGTGCCTTTGGCCGGAATCGAACCCACTACTCATTGGTCCACAGGCCGACACTCTAACTACTAAGCCAAACTGCCAGGGCAAGTTTTTCATTTTAGAACCACTAGTAGGAACACTCAGATTGCACCAGTTTTAGCAGCCTATAACAATGCTGTCAGTGTTTCAAAACAAAGTTATTTAGTGCTGTTTCTCAAAGTAGGATTAGTGGCGTGTTAGATAATTTCCCTGCGTTCTACAATCTGTAATTGAAACATTTTACACAATGTTAATATGGCTATTATTTCAGGATTTATGTGGTACATTTCTTCTAGAATTTAATGTCAGAAAACATTTTCTTCCAGAAGAACTCATTTGATTCCATTCAACAGACAATTTGAACTTTATAAATTTTTCCTATTCCCCCTTTTTCCTTGACTGTCAGGACACACAGAAGTAATTTTCTCATTGGATGGTTTCTAATTTGTGTCTCTTATTTTTTTAATTGTTCAAGAATACCTGTTAATTATAAAGCTTCATAAAATTTAGCAATGTATAAAAGTGCAAATATTATTCCTAGCTCTACCATCCATAGATAACTGTCATCAATATCAGTATGTACATACTTTTGGACTTTTTCCACTAGTTTAATAAATACAGGGGTGGGCAAAAGTAGGTTTACAATTGTGGGTACGTGAAACTGAATTTGGTCTTGTAGTATAATTCATTTATTAATTATTGTATTATTATTTATCATTATTAACCTACTTTTGCCCACCCTTGTATGTACAACTTGAACATCAGTATCCATAGGGGGATTGTTTTCAGGAACACTGTGGATATGAAAATCTGTGGATGTTCAAGTCCCATATATAAAATGTCACAGCATTTGCACATAACTTATGCACATCCTTCTTTATACTTTAAATTGCCTTGAGATGCCTGGCTGGAATGGCTTAGTGGTTGAGCATCAACCCATGCACCAAGAGGTCACCAGTTCAATTTCCAGTCAGGGCACATGCCCATGTTGTGGGCCAAATCCCCAGTGGGGGGCATGCAGGAGGCAGCCAATGGATGTTTTCTCTCATCGATGTTTCTATCTCTCTCTCTCCCTCTTCCTTCCTCTCTCTCTAAAATCAATTAAAAAAATTTTTTTTAAATTACCTCGAGATGATTATACCTAATATAATGTAAATGCTATGTGAATCGTTATACTGTATTGTTTAGGGAATAATGACAAAAAAATCTGTGCATATTCAGTGCAGATGCAACGATTGTAGGCCTAACTACATAGTACACATCAGCAAAAACATAACATTTTTTCCTGAATATTTTCCATCAATAGTTGGTAGAATCTATAGATGTGAAATCCATGGATATGGAGGGCCAATTAAATACACTAGCAATGGCATAGCATATGTATTTTACAAACTGCTTTTTCACTTAGTAATAGGTCATGATCATTTTTCTATGCCAATAAATGCAGATTCACAAAGCCATGTTTATTTTTTTAATTATTAATTTTAAATGTTTTTATTGATTTTTTTAGAGAGAGAGAGGAAGGGAGAGAGATAGAAACATTGATATGAGAGCGATACATTCATCTTCTGCCTCCTGCACGCCCCTTAGTGGGGAATCAAGCCTGCAACCCGAGCATGTTCCCTGACCAGGAATCCAACAGGGACCTCTTAGTCCATGGGAGTCCATTGAGCCACACTGACCAGGCAACAAAGCCACGTTTAATGGTTTCATAGCTTTCCATTGCATGAGTGTATATATCATAATTTATTTACCTATTCACTTGTTAGTGTCTTTAGGCTGATTTTATCTTTAAACTAGAAATACCATTATTTAACTGTTTCATTTATGTCTTTTAATTTAAGCCCCTTAAAATTATCTTTCAAAATAGAAAGATATAATGAATAAATAAATAAATGAATGAATGAAATCCCAGGAATAGCCTGGATGTCTACAACTATAATTAGCTTGCATTATCATTATCATGTATTTCTTATGGTACTGTTATTCTGGAGATGAATAATTTTCTTCTCTATCTAGGTCTTGGCCACAATGAGTGACACTCCTTCCACAAGTTTTTCCATGATTCATCTCACTTCTTCCCAAGGTCAAGTTCCTTCACCTCGACAAATGAGCCTCACTCATCCTGTTGTAGCCAAAAGGATCAGCTTCTACAAGAGCGGAGATCCGCAATTTCGCGGGGTCAGGGTGGTGGTCAACCCTCGTTCCTTTAAGACATTTGATGCTTTGCTGGATAGCTTGTCAAGAAAGGTGCCTCTACCTTTTGGGGTGCGGAACATCAGCACCCCCCGAGGAAGGCACAGCATCACGTGTCTGGAGCAGCTGGAGGACGGTGAGTCGTACCTGTGCTCCCACAGCAGGAAGGTGCAGCCAGTGGACCTAAACAAGGCCCGCCGCTGCCGAAGGCCCTGGCACAGCAGCATGTCCATCAGCGCGCACGCGCACTGCTCCCCGGCTGCTGCTGCCCCGGGCGTGCCACGTGCCCCGCGCAGGCTCGCGGTTTTCAGGAACGGAGACCCGAAGGCAAGGCGCATGGTTCTTCTGAGCAGGAGGGTCACCCAGAGCTTCGAGGCCTTTCTGCAGCACCTGATGGAGGTCATGCAGTGCCGCGTGACCAAGCTATACTCCACGGATGGAAGGAAGGTGAGCGTTCTGGAAGCTGCTGTCTGAGCTCGCGTCCTGCGGGCCTGCACCCGGGAGGAAGGCTTCGCGTGGCCTCCCCTGCGTGTGCTTGGTGCTCCCACCCCTGTGGGAAGGCACTCGCTTCACCTGGGGCGGTGGGCCCTGTGCTTTCCAGTGGGAAGCTGACGAGGCACCAGCATGAGCTCGTTTTTCCTTCACGCGCCCTCCTCTGAGCACTGACTTATATAATGTGTTGGCATAGATTTTCACCTGACAACATTTCTTCAAAGGAGTCTCCAGGAGTCATGTTCAGTTAGGTAGAGAAAGGCATTTCCTAGGATCCCAGCTGAGGAGGGTAAGGGGGAGTTTCCCCTGCAGCTGCCAATGTGTCCACAAGAGCTCCCCTTCTGGTCCTGCACATCCATCAGGCCCTTCATCATCTAGCTCAGGGTAGACATTGGGCTACAGCTGGGTACTTTGGTGGGGAAGGCAGAGGCAGTCCTGCATACCTTTAAAAGATTTCTTTAATTTAACAGAGGACCAGCCTGCCTTTTCCCAGCTAGTATGTAGGCTCAATTAGGTGTTGGTCTAATTCCCACCACCCACACTTCAGTATTTCATTTTGTATGCATCATTGCTGCCTAACAAATACTTGGTGATGATCTCTTTCAAACTCAGGAGGTTGTTGAATTGATTAAATCAGCTATAATGTCATATGAAAAGAATAAAACTTTATGCTGCTCATGTAAGGACCATAACTCTTTGGTTTCTTCTAGGTTCCCAACCTGCAGGCGGTGATTCTGAGCTCCGGAGTTGTGGTGGCAGCAGGGAGGGAGCCATTTAAACCAGGAAATTATGACATCCAAAAATACTTGCTTCCTGCTAGATTACCAGGGATCTCTCATCGTGTGTACAAGGGAAATACTAGGGCAGAAAACAGAAAGAGTAAGTCACTTAAATATATAGCATTTATATTTAGCATTGAGATTTTTTAGGTCAACAGCAACAAAAATCCATGCTTAAATGACCAATTCTTTTCATCGTAGAAGAGAAAATGAGATAGAAAACATTCTAAACTGAAATTGATTATATAGTTGGAAAGAGTCATAAAGGTTATCTCATAATTTTTTTAAAAGATTTTTCCAAATAAATCAGTGATGTTTTTGTTTACATTGAATTGATGAGGTATAGTTTCTTTCGTATACTACTTCGTTAAAAAAAAAAGCCAGCATGTTTTTATTTAGAGAGGAATTCTATGAAATATGCAAGTGACATCTCTGGTACTGGCAGAGTTTTCTCTAAATTGTATCATGCAGAGCTCAGTAGGTTAGTTGGTGACTGTATTTTAAAAAATCTCTAATGACAGCATTCTCTACTTACTGGAGTAAAAACCACAGCCCCTTAGATTCATTTTTTTTCTTTATTTAAAAAAAAAAAAGGTTCATATTGCCATTTTATGTTGCTTAACAATAACCTAGGTTTATAATTTCTTAGAAATGCTGCACAGTGTGGTGTTATTCTTTGGATAGGGGAGGAGGAGGGCCTCTTGATGGTAGAGTGTGGGATAGGCTGTCAATTCTCTGTGCAGCATAGCTGATCTCATTAGTCATTGTGCTAAGTACTTTGGCTCTATGCTAGAGTATTGGTTGCCATTTATACTTAAATTTTAGCTTAATTTTATTTAGAAATGGAAGTAGTGTTAATTCCTATACTTACTACTAAAGTAGGTGATATTCATCTATTATTTATTGTTGTCATTTAGTTATTTTATGTATATAATCAAAAGGTAATTATTAATGTTTCTATTTTATATGCATTAGCTTCTGAATATTTGTTATGCATATAGTAGCACTATTTTTTTGTTGGTCATTTTATTAAATGATTTTATTATTTTGTGTTTGATAGAGATTGTTGAGAATGGTTTTTGATGGTTTCAGGGAATTTGAGGACTTCCTTAAGTTTTACTTTTAAAAATTATGAGTGAGACATTTTCATTTACAGTTCTGATAAGAGAAAATATTTCTGTTTATATTTTGAAAAGTTAAAGGTATTTAACTGATGGCAAGCATATGAAAATCTATACAAAACACTAATAGGAATTAGATTGAGTGTAAGAAGTATGAGTGCCAAGGTTATCTCTAGAGACACATTATAACGATAATGAGATATCTGGGCCTTATGTCTAGCTTTTTCTTTTTTTCCCCTTTGCTGCTCTATATTAAATCAGATACACTGATTATACAAAGTGAATGCTAAATTAATAATTATTATTTGATTAATGTAGACTTTAAATTATAAAAATGCTTTAGCTTTCATTATGTTATAGATGCCTCTCTTGGATACACAAAGATGAGAAAATAAATACCACTGTAAATTATTATTTGCTTTGTTTGAATAACTGAACAGCACTTGGTTAGACTCCAATTTCAGTACTGGTAAAGAACATCAAACAACAAAGCTAAACAGCACAAAAATCTATTTTTGCTAGAATCCTTAGCAATTTCTGCTTTATACTTTCATTTTTAAAATTGCCTTATTCAACTCAGAATTAAAATTCTGAGAATCTCCTCACTGAAATGATTATGAGTTCTTTCTTTAAGAAAAAACTTGTAGAAATGTACCAGATACCACAGTGAACTCAAATAACCAATGAATACATAGAGGAGAGAAACATATTAATGACATCTTACTGTGAAATTTAGAAAATGTGGTATTTTTCATACTAATTATTTCCTTTTTCCTTTTCTTCTTTCTTTGCTGCCTCTTCTGTTGGATATATGTATATATAACTTCTCTATCTTCCACATTATTTTTTGATGCATGGCATCTTTTGCTCTTAAAATCTTGCAAGTGAGCACACACGTGCCTTCAAGCCCAAGGTCTCAGATTTATTCTGCTGCTTCTGACAAAATACATAATAATGATTGCTACTCAGACCATTCCTTTGCTCCTGAACATTACTTGGCCTTAGAAAAAAAGGATTCTCAGAATTTATTAATATATCCTTCCGAAGATGATATTGAGAAATCAATTATTTTTAATCAAGATGGCACTATGACAGTTGAGATGAAAGTTCGATTTAAGATAAAAGAAGAGGAAACCATAAAATGGACATCCAGTGTCAGTAGAGCTGGTCTTTCTAATAGTCCTGAAAAGAGTGAGATAAGCAGTTTTCCAGGAAGAACAGATGATTTGTCATCTGGTTTAAAGATTGCAGCATGTTCATTGTCTGCAGATGTCTCACCTCTGGAGAAAGGCAATTATCAAGAGGACAGTTTGGCAGAAGAGATACACACACAGATGACAGATCGAGAGGCTGAAACTCACAGTTCTTCTAGTTGGGAGAATTCTTCTATGGACAGAAATGCCATCCAGGGAACTCAGGATCAAGCAGAGCATCATTTTTATAGGCCTCCTACACCTGGACCAAGGAGAGTGAGACAAAAGAAATCTATGATAGGGAGTGTGACTTTAGTATCTGAAACTGAAGTTCAAGAGAAAATGATTGGACAGTTTTCCTACAGTGAAGAAAGGAAAGACGGGGAAAATAAATCTGAGTATCACATGTTCACACATTCTTGCAGTAAAATGCAATCAGTAACTAACAAACCAGTGCTTGTTCAGATAGATAACAATGAGCAGATGGAATCATCATTAGAAAGCAGAAAAGAAAGCAGACAACTCAAATCAAGTTCAGTAAGTGCTGGTGTTGTAGAAATTACAAGTCAGAAGATGTTAGAGTTGTCCCATAATAATGGCTTTTCACATACTATACCAGAAAATGTAATTGTGGAGGAAGATACAATTAATAGTGTAATAACACCAGACAACAAAACTAGTATGAAGAATTTAAGAACTTATGGCAACACTGGTGATAGGTTATGTCCTATTTTAGCAGATTCACTTCATTCCTCAAGTAACAACGCTGGAATTGACAAAACTATTTCTCAGATCCCAGCTTCAGTAGGACCCTCTACTCTCACCAGAAGAATTGACAGACTAATTAATGAATTTGCTCAGTGTAGTTTAACAAAACTTCCAGAAAATGAAAAGAAGATTTCATCATCTGTTACCAGCAAAAAGATGAAATCTCAGCAGCAAGTGAAAAGTTATAGGCATCAGGATGGAGAGATTGCAACTAAAGGAATCCCTAGTAATAGTAAGAGAATAAACACAAGGGGTAGAATTGCACAGGAAACAATGTTGCAAGATTCACACAGTCCTATTAAAAGAGGGTTGCTTTGTAAGGAAGAACTCCATGCAAGTGATATGGTAATTGAAACAAATTATTTTTGTTCCAAAAGTAATCTCAATCCTGTGAATTCCAAGAAATTCCAAAGAAATAAATTAAATACTATTGAGAATCCTAAGGTTCAAGGACTTTTAGCTAAAAGAAAATCCAGACCACTAAACAAAGTAAGTTTAGGAGGCTCTGCAAAAAAAGAAATTGGTCAAGGAGATAAAGCATTTCCCCATAATGAAATCAGATATTGCAAAAGTACTTTTGAGAATCAAAATTTATTTCATGTGTTTAACTTTCCTGAGCAAAACCCCACTATTTTTTGTGGACCACAGGCTCAAGCAGAAATAGCATCTTGGTATTTGAGAGGAATGGAAAAGAAGAGTTTAGTTTCAAAAGTTAATAATTCACACATAACTTTAAAAAGCCAGAAAAAACAAAAAGGGGATAAATTGAAATCGGGAACTATCGTAAGTAAACAACATACTACAACAGGGGTAAATTCCTTAGCTTTTTTGAAAAAAGCTGTTTTTCCTGAGCATATTACCCATCATTCAGTTCAAAATTATGTACAGAGATGGATGCAGAACATAAATCCACATTCAGCTTTGCAGCCTAAGAAAGCGCCAATATGCAAAAAGAAAAGGAGTGTGGTAAGTTGTAACAATTGTTTTCCAGGAAATAATTATCACAGAAGTTCTGAAAAAGGAAATAATTTTGTCATGGCAAATAATCAGCACGTGACTAAAATTGCCAGTTTGACAGGAGATAATCTAGGTAAAGAGGTAGGTAAATCTTTTGACAAAGGTAACAGTGAAGAACTTACCAAAGATCTCCACGAGAGCCAGGTTGAATCTCTGAATGCTGCTTACTTGCTTTCCCTGCATGAATGTTGTACTTTGTCACAGTCAGCTGTTGATAACCATAATACTAAAAGTGAAGTATCTGTTGAAAATTCAGGACCTTCTTTACCAAGCTTAGTTTACCAAGACACAAACCTCGCTACAAAAGGGCAAAGTGGAGAGGCTGCCATCCAAGTAGATTTAATGGAAGAGGACACTTCAAAAGACCTCTTACTAGTACTGTTGCTTCGCCAACTGCAAGCTTTAGTTCCCAGTATTCACAAGACTCAGAACGGTGTTGTTCAAGTGCCAGGTTCACTTGTAGATGTTCCGTTCCATTCCCCAATATGTAATTCATCCACTAATGTCCTTCTAGCTTGGCTCCTGGTGCTAAACCTAAAGGGAAGTGTGAATTGCTTCTGTCAAGGTGATGCTCACAAGACTACCAGCAGAACTTCAGAAATATGTACATTGTTGGAGGTTCTAAAGCACATTGCCATCACGGAGAAAGCTGATGACTTAAAGGCTGCTGTTGCCAATTTAGTGGAGTCAACTACAAACCCCTTTGGACTCACTGAGAAAGGACAAGATGTGGTTCCAATTGATTTTTCTTCAAATTGTTCCACACCCAACATTCAGAGAGCTTCTAAGTGCACCAAAAGCGAAAAAACACAAAACATCTTCTCTTTAAATGCCAGTGAGTACTGTGCTCCTGAAGTTTACGTTTCAGAGGGGACTTGCTCTCCATGTGAGGTGTGCACTGTGAGTAAGATTTACCCTCCAAAAGAGACTTGTAACCTTAATAACATTTTTTCTCATAGTGATGGCTGTGGCATGGATCAGATCTCTATGAGTCAGACTTGTTTCCTAGGAGAGGTCTGTTCACTTACTGATGCTGTGTCTTCCCATAAGACTTGTGCTCATGAGGAAAACCATACTTATGAGACAGCTTGCCCAACTGATGGGGCCCACATTCCCATCAAAGTCTGCAATATCAATGACTTTTTAAATTCCAAAGAAGTCACCTATACTGATAATTTGGAATTGACTGAAGAATTAGAAAGAGTTGATGATGTTCAGAAAGACCTAAATGTTTTGGCAGACCCTGTATATAAACATGACTTTGATATGTTGGTGCCACACAAAAATAGCAATTTAGGTCACTGTGGCTTTTTCTTAAGTACAACTGAACCAGAATTTGATAAGGAACCTAGTGCTCTAGATGAATCCAGAAGTTGTTCATTAAAGAAATTTCAGGATAAAAATGCATATACATCCTTCAATAAGGGAGAATCAAAGACATCTGAAGAACCAGGCTCAATAACCAACAGCAAGACATCAAGTGAAAGACACATTTCAGAACTGGAATCTTTTGAAGAATTAGAAAAGCAGGACATTGATATATTTAATACAAAGGTAAATGCAGGAGAGCAAACCACTGAAGGATTGAAACAAAAAGAGTTAGAGGCTAGTAAAAAGTTGGAATTGATAGAAGTCTCTAGTAGGAGCATTACAGAAGAAAGAAGGAATGGTGTAATTCGCGAGGCAGTCAGGAGGTTGGCACCAGCACCATCTTTAGTGCTTTGCTATGCTTCTAAGCAAAATACTGAAAAGGAGCTCAATGAAGGAGAAACTAAAATGAGAGTAAAAATGATGGTGAAAAACATGGAAATTGGAAGTTCTTCAGGGTTCCCTCTTGATTTTAAAAATGGCTTCAAGAGAACAGTGACCTCTGATTGGTCAGACTATACACGAGACCGTGAGAATGACCAATCATATAAAATGTCCAGCGATGACCCCAATGACAGTGGTGAGGAGATTGCTCAAGAGAAAGACTACAATAAAGGATTTGTTAAAAGAACAATAGAAAAGCTTTATGGTAAAGTGGAGATTGTAAAACCATCTTTTTTCCCTGGGTCGCTAAACAGATCCCAGGTTTGTCCTTACAATTCTATGGAATTTCAGTGTGCTAGAACAGTAGGTCTTTATGATTGTGAAGGTCAGTCATTTGGCTCTTCTAAACAAGCATCCAGAGGTTCATCTAAGTTGCATAGATTTCAGGAGGAAAGACAAGATAAATGTTACTTTAATGATATGAAGGCCAATTATCATGGGAGAGACATTGTAGAACATAGTACAAAACAAAATGATCATAACAGAAGTTTTGGGGACATAGAAGAAGGAGTACTGATTGACAAGGGCAAGTGGCTTCTGAAAGAAAATCATTTGCTAAGAATGTCATCTCCCGAAAATTCTGGCATATGTGGCAATGCAGACACTACATCAGTGGATACTCTACTTGATAATAATAGTAATGAGGTACCATATTCACATTTTGGAAATTTGGCCTCAGGCCCAAACATGGCTGAACTATCCTCTTCAGAATTGGAGGAACTGACTCAACCTCTTGAATTGAAACACACTTATTTTAACATGCCTCATTGTAGTGACTTCGAACCTTTTTGTGAGGATTTTCTAGATGTTCAAAATAAAACTTGTCACGAGGAGAAAATACCAAATCACCATGCAGAGGAGAAGGGTAATCATAAGTCAGAGAGAGTGTGTACATCTGTCACTCATGTCTTTGCGGCTGCCAACAAAGTGCATCCCATCTCCGATGATACTGTTAAAAAACAACCGTTGCCTGGAAATAATGCTGGTGCACTTCAGGAAGGTGACTCTTTGGATAAACTCTATGCTATTTGTGGTCAACATTGCCCAATATTAACAGTTATTATCCAACCTATAAATGAGAAAGACCGAGGATTTGCATATTGTAAAGATTCTGATATTGAAAATTCCTTGGACAAACATTTATGGATGAAAATACAACCCTATTTCCTAGAGTCAAACAAAACCATGTTCAGAGATGAGAATAAAGCAAGTAGCAGAAAGACATTTATTGATAATGCCCTTGATGATATGCTTGATCAATTTTATTTCAGTAGTACATTTAACTTGATGGGTAAAAGAAGAAAATTAAAAAGAATTGACTTATTGGACTTAGAGGAAGAAAATAATTTAAAGAAATTTCAATTATATTTAAATAAACAGTTTTGTGTGAATTTCTTGCACACATCATTGTTACTTGTGAGTGATGTGAACTCAAATACGCAAGACCCCAGCAATCTGATGAATGAAATCTTCGAAGTAGTTGATGAGAATAACAACTTATTAAACAACAGATTCCAGAGCTCAACAACAAATCTGAACCAAGTAGTAAGAAAAACTATCAACTATTACTTCTCCTTTGAAATGCTTGGTCAAGCCTGCCTAGTTTGCCAAGTTGAGATATTCTTAAATATTAACAACAGAAATGTATTTAAAATATTTTATGTTTTTGAAGGTGAGAAACTTTTCATTTGGGAAGAAGAAAACCAATTAAATTTAACTGATGTTGAAAACAGTGAGGAGCAGGAAGATTAATAATTACAAATCACAACAACTTTTCTTCATTATGAGATTTCTTTCCTTGTAATAAGATGAAGCACATGGGATGGATGTGGACTAGATAATCTCTAAGAATCTTCTGCTTCTTTAAAATGAGTTTACCTTAGAAAGCTTGCCCTTTGATAATCCGATCAGACTTTCATCATTCCTCTGCTCTTCATTTTTCCAATTACAGACTCAGTTTTTATTCTGTTATTTTGGAAGTTTCTGTGTGTGTGTGTTTTGTTTTTTGATAATGTATAATAATTTTCTGTCCCTGTGATTTTCCTGCAGGGACATTATAAATGCCCTAAGTCCAAGAATTATATCTTTTTTTTTTTTAATTGTCAGTTCAGTGCAGAATGTATATTGAGTGTATTGGTGAATAGATTAGATATAGTCTCAAAGGACTTCATTTATTAACTGTACTGATTTGATAAAGGTATGATTATAAGATCTCTACAACAATCTCTTAAGATTCTTGTGCCAAATGTGTTAAATTTAGTTTTCTTCAGAACATCGGTTAAATGAACTTGCAAGCATTTTCGTGGGACAGGATTCACCATTTTTCTTCATGATTAGAAAATGATGCTATACTTCTAAGCTGCATCTCCAGTACTTTGCCTATAACTTATAATCTTTTAAATATTAGTAAAATGTGAAGAAGTCCACATAGGTCATAAAAAATGGAAAAATTTAAAGCATAGTCTGTGAAGAAAAATTGAAGGAACTGGAATGACTTACCTTGGAAAAGAAAAGAGGTGACTTTAAATTTTTCAGAATTGTAAACGTGTTTCTCTTAAGAGGAACTTGACAAATTTCTTTCTATGTTAACCTGCATTAATAAAAAAATTAATTATGTATAAATAAAAATATGTTGCCCAGAAAGATAAATTTAATTATACTATGAACCATACATTGTCTGTTCTGAATTGTCTGGTATTTTGCCTGGGATTTAACCAGGGGATCTTTTTAGATTCCTTCCTCTTCCTGACTCTGTGATGGTATAGAAATGAATCTTATAAAATGTTAAAGTCTGTGTCTCTTGTCTGGAACTGACTCAAAGTAGACCAATTAATGTTTTGTGGAGCCGCAAATGGAGGTGCTAAAATAATGAATTTGGTATTAACACACTAAAAGGTAATTAATTTTATAAAGATCATTTTTGGTTTATGTTCAGCATGAGTCATAAATCTATAAAAAATTATAAGTTGCTATTAATTTCACCAGATGAAGACTGCTTCTACATAGAGTTTTGTTTTTCTATATTAAGTGATACATGCTTCTAATTGAAATATGAAAGCTATTATGTAAACTCCTATAATGAGCAATTAATACTTTTGGTGAAATAAAAGGGCCAAAATTGTGGAGAAATAATAGAAAGGGGAAAAGAGTTAACATTAATTTCGTGTCTACTGTGTAGCAGGGACTATGTTAGTCTTTCAGATTTATTATATGTAATCTTTCCTTATAAAGACACTGCTGCCTCTGATACTACCTTTCTGCAGATGAGACAACCTAGAAACAGGGAGCCAGAGTACATTTGTCAGGGTACCCAGCAGATGTCATGTCAGGATTAGAATTCAGTCATTCATTCTGGAAAATCAGTGCTATATTTGCTGCATCTTTATTCTTTATATGAGGAAGAAAAGATAAAATGTTTAAAAAATTATGTAGCACTTTTCCTAGAGTAGAGACACAGGGAAATTATTTTTGTTTTTAATATGGAAAGCGTGTGATATATAGATGTATCAAGAAGATTGGAGAAATCACTCATAACAACCAGGATTTTTAGAAAATTTGTCATAGTAACATATTTTAGTAATACTACACCAAACAATGGCATAGGTGGCCCAGCTGATATTGGGGAAAATAAATTGGGAGTAATGACCATGTAATGTGCTTTTTATTTAAAGTAAACAATGTTCATATGCATTGAATTCCAATCTCATCTTATTGTTATGTCCCATATCTAGCATATTTTATATTGGAATATGGTAAGCACCTATTAAATGTGTGTTGAATAGACAAGATATACTTTTGAATGCCTTTTCTTTATGTCTTATTAACTTGGATACATATTTGTAGAAGAATATGCAAAAATGTTGAGGGATAGATCTACGTTCTTGTATTTTGTGAAGCAGTATTTCAATCACCTTTAAAAATGTCCATGGAAGTGATTTTTTTTTTCTTTTAAACATTCAAAGGCTGTTTTTTATTTTCATAATGATTGTATTACAATATTGTAACACTGTGAAATTTAGAAGACTAAATGAAACATTAGAGAAAATTTAAGAATGTTACACAGACCTGGTTTTTGCTTTAACGAGGAAGTGCCTCAGGGCCGAGGAAGGGATTCTAGGCTATTGTGCTCAGGGAGTATACTTGACTTCAGGGTCTGGGATCCTAAAGCCGAGTGGCAGTTACAGTTCATGCCCACCAGATGTCAGCTGTGCTGTGTGCTGCCGGAAGCACAGCTCCCTCAGGAGGCCTGCATGACTAAAGGGAGTGCCTCAGGCATTGGGACAGTCTCAGGGCTGCTTGCTTCTGCTTCAAAGAAAGCTGAGGACCCAACGGTGCAAGCATCCCTGAGTCTTAAACCCAGAAGGTATAGTGGTGTTAAGAATAAATGGAAATATGCTGTCAGCGAGAAGCTAGAGTTCAAAAGTAGAGGGAATATGAAGAAAAATGCCAGCTGTTAAGAATCATCAGAGTTGATCCCAAGGAAAGCTGAATTTGGGAAGAATGGGAGCAACCAGTAATCCTAACCTAAGTTGAAATTAAGTTAAGGAGTCACTGTCTCAGTGGGCAAGAGGTTACTTTTACCTGCCCCTTTCAGGTGTCTTTACTCTTTAAACTTTCAGTGACACAAACCACGTCCAATTTGCAAGGTATAAATTGAGGTCTCGACGCCACTTTTCATGTTTGTAGTACTCACTTTGTTAGTGTTCTCGTCTATGAAATAGAGCCACCGCTTTAGAGTCTTTATGAGAAGCTTCCTGTTTAAGATTATTGTGAGAACTGCACTTGAGGGAATGATTGTTAAAACTCTTAGCACAGACATTGCCACACAGTGCTGAATATATTTTACATAGATATATTTAAAGGCCATTAGTGCTAATGTCTTTGATATGCTTTTTTAAAAGTTGGTGTTTGTCTGATCAAGAATTATTTAGCTATCATGAGTACTAAAATATATAAAAGACATATAATTTCAGCATGTATTCCTATGACCCTTTATAAAGGCAAAGGTGACAAATATTTTGAGACCTTTGTGGTGACAAAATTGTGCTAGGTGCCACATATATATACTATCTAGTCCTGACAATAAACCCCTCAGATGGGTAGTAGTATCTTTAGTATAGTTGAAGGATACTGAGGCTCATGGGACCCAAGAAAGAAGCACTTTTACTTCTGTGTCTGTGTAGGCATACCTCATTTTATTGTGCGCTGTGGATACATTTTATAACAATGGAAGGTTTGTCCATCAGCATCATTTTTTCCAACACACTCAGATGATGGTTAGCATTTTTTTTAGCAATGAGGTATTTTTTAATTAAAGTATGTTCGTTTTTTAAAGACATAATGCTGTTGCACACTTAATAAACTACAATATTATATAAACATAATGGTTATATGCACTGGGAAACCAAAAAATTTGTGTGACTGTCTTTATTATGATTCATTTTATTGCAGTAGTCTGGAACTGACCCTGCAACATCTCCTGTATTTCATCCTCACAAATAGCCCAGTTTTGTTGATGTGCTGTATACAGATCTATCTTGGAAACATAAAAGACTTTGTATACCCTGTCTATAGAGGCTAAATGGGATTTTGTAACTGCCAAGGGTAGCATAGTAAATCAAAATTATTTTAATATAAAGTAGAATACTTTTCCCATACAGGATATAATATGAACACATGCCAAGTATTTTATTGAAAGCATTAATTAAGTAGGGAACAAGTAATATATTCCAGTGGACTCAAAGGTGAATTTAAAGTATCACATGAAAGTAGTGAGAAAAAGAATGCTGCAGTGAATATGGATCTGTCCAGGACAATAATGAATTACATTCCATTGGACACAACTAATTTATATTTCTATGGATAAGAATAATTTACATTATTATTTTATTTTTTATTTTAATTTTTATAATTTACAGGATTGTAAGATAATTAAGAGAATGAAAAGTAAATAATCCCTGAGACTACTTGATAAGTCATTTCAGTAATTTTTTTGGTCCATTTCAAGGTGTTTCATAATTTTTACATACTGAGGCCTTACTTTCCAATGATTTAAGTGATAAGTTATTAAGAAAATATTTCCAAGTAGTAAACAGTTTATGACTGGAAAATTTTTTGAAAAACAACAAAACAATGATCCCTTTTAGAGGGATGTTTTGGTATACTTGATGGTGTAAGGTAGATCTGTTCATCCTATAATTCTGGAAATAAGCAGCAAACAATACCCAGCATAGACTTTAAATGCAATATATAGTGATAGGTTTTAACAATTACAATTCTTCCTGAAGGGGAGATACATCAGCCTTTTTCTATGTATACATATTTTCAATATATTATCAATTTTTACTTTCTGATTTATATAAAAGATTACCATAGCAATAACAGCAACAACAAAAACAGTAAAAGTTGATGAAGCAAAAAAAATTATTAACTGCTTTCTTTCTTGAGAGTAGTTCTTTTGCAGGACAAGTTTTTTCCCACCATAGCTTTATTGAGCTATAAATGGCATATAACATTGTTTAAGATGCACAAGGTAGTCATTTGATACACATATGCAATAGGAAGTGTTTACCACAATAAGGTTAGTTAACACATCTTTCACATCACATAATTATTGTTTTGTTGGTTAGAACATAACACACTCTGATAGCAACTTTCAAGTATATAATATAATATTGTTAACTATAATCAACCATGCTGTGTATAAGATTTTGGAATTTTTTGATCTTATAACTTAAAGTTTTACCCTTTGACCGACATCTCCCCACTTCACCCACCCCTCAACTCCTGGAAACCACCATTATACTATCTGTCTCTATAAGTTTGATGTTTTTAGATTCCACCTATAAGTGAAATCATTTATCTTTGCTGGCTTATTTTACTTAGCCTAATGCCCTCAAGGTCCATCGAAGTTACCACAAATGGCAGGATTTCCTTCTTTTTTTTTTATGGCTGAACAATATCGTGTGTGTGTGTGTGTGTGTGTGTGTGTGTGCATATACATACCACATTTTTTTTATTTTTGTTAATCCTCACCTGAGGATATTTTTTCCCATTGATTTTTAGGAAGGGAGGGAAGAAGAAGGCAAGAGAA